ATATATATATATACGAGCTCGCTTGCTCGATATTCTAATCCGTGACACGCGTATGCGTAATTCATTATGCGTGTCGCTTGCACGGATACAATATATATACGCGCGATACGCCACTCCGACGTTTTCCTTTCTTTGGTTTCTAGACCGTGATTAATCTACCCTCGGTAACGAGTCCGAGCTTGACAGTTTCTCATCGCGGAAAGTAATAGCTGTGCCCGATGGAATTCAATGAAAGAACCTTTGCACCGGTACGTACAGAGATGGCGCCTTGTTACGTTAGTCGTACGAGGAACACGTGTGCGATAAGGAGAAAGGATACATCTCTTTCTTTCTTTCTCTTTCTCTCTCGTCTTTCGCCCGCCGCGTGAGAGATTTCCACGTCGAATTTGAGGAAAGGATGGTCGAAGAAAGGATGAAAGAAAGGATGAAAGAAAGGATGAAAGAAAGGTTGTTGGAAAGGAAAGGAAAGGAACGAGCGAGAACGAGATCTGGACTTGGGATAGAGATAAGCGTAAGTATGTGTGTGGTCACACGATGCGCGACTCATGTGGTGGAAGAAGAGAGGTGAAAGGAGAGGTGAAGAAAAGTGGGAAAGAAGAAGAAAGGGCGAAATGGCGTTGTCGTGCGACGAAATCATTTGTCCAGGAAGATCAGCAAACAAACGGACACCACCACCCTCTTCTCCCTCCAAAATAGGTCGATCCGCGTAATCGGGGGGTTGGATGATGGAACGATGTAATGCGCCCATCTAGGCCTAACCTGTCGTTATCGTGACATTTATCTGCGAGACATTCCTCGCCCGATATTCTATTATATCGGACGGTGAATGTGATTCGTCATCGTCAGTGGCGCACTGGCATCGTTAAACGCGTTTATCCTTGGCAATTAAGAATGAAATTTCACGTGTATCGGGTGTGCGTATAAACACATTGTGAATAATGTCCGTCAAATTTTGAATTTTTATCGCGGTGATATTTTTACTTGCGCGTAAGAGAACGTAATTATTTTTGAACTTCTTCTTTCTTTCTTTCTTTTCTTTTCTTTTTTTTTTTTTTTTTCAAATTCAATCTGAGAATTGAGAAATCGGTAATTGCTTTAACTGATAAATGAAACGGGATTGACAGAATTTGTTCGTAACATTACGTACGGGCGAATGATCGATATTCTATTTCAGAGAGAGTGGAATATATTGTGAAACGAGAAAACCAATTTTGAAGAGTTTATAAAGGAGATGCTAACTAATAGGATTAATTAATTTTATATAATGCGTTCGCACGTACGTTGATTACGTGTATTTATTGAAAACGATTTGGAAGGGCTACCTGCGAAACAATCGTGCATCCGTTATCGTATTATGCGATGTGCGTAGTCTACCGTCGCCTATGCAACTATACGAATACGCATTCGTCGCTTTCCCTACTAATGCACGCAATCAGAGGAATTTATCCATTAGACGGGACGATTAATTGTTTACTATTCACGAGAATTAAAGGCAAAGGTTCCAGAGATCGACGAAGGATTCTTTAAACGCGTTTAAAGAGATATTTACAATCACTCGCCTATTAATCGAGATTAAAAATTTTCTGCAAAATTACTTGCGATGTATCTCTCGTAATTAATCCTATTATTTGTGCTTTTTATACCTTCCTTTCGAAATAAAATCGATATTTTATATTTGGAATAAAAAATCATCGAATGTTAACTACGATTTTATTATATTGTTTATATATGTATATATATATTATCTCAATTCGAAACGCTAATTCATGAATCATCGAGCGCAAACGTATTTATTAATCATTAGTATATCTAACAATATACGTTCGATCAAATAGAAATCCACTCGATTCAAACAAACACCAATGATTAGTATTTAATAGCAACGCAAGTCTATTTGCAATAGTCTGTCCGTTAATAAAGCGATTATCGTTTATTGGCAGGTATCAGAAAGAATCGAAACAAGCGGCTATCGTCGTATCGAAAATTCGATAATCATCCATTTCCCATTTACAAATCTGGTTAAAACGAATGGAAATTTGAAATTCGTATCTTCGAACGGTGTGACTCGTAAGGAACGATATAAAACGATATAAATTGGAATTGGAAGAAACGCAAATGGAGAAAAAAAAAAAAAAAAAAAAAAATCTTGAAAAGCACAAGATGAGATAATATGATCGCGTCGTTGATTCCCGTGGACGGATGGTGGGTCGAATGGAGTAGAATAAAACCACCAGTCGAAGGATAATCGAGTCTTATAGGTATTTACCAACTTTCGAATTTACTGGTCGGTCAGTACCCTCGACAGGGGTCTTTATTGTCTTCTCTCCACTTAATTGACTGTACATTCTTAAGAATTTTCTTGGGGAAAACCCAGAGTTCGCACTTTTCAAGGATTCTACGATGCCACCGGTGTGAAACATGTGTTTTGGATTTGAATAAATCATTTTCTAGAAACATTGCAGACCGATTTTTAACGCTTTCAGAATGAGCGGAGAAGAATTCGAATTCGTCCCGGTCGTAAATTTTCTTTTCGAAATCTCATATCCTTCGTTGATTATCCTTCTTCCGTTACAGATACGTAAATGTAAAAAAAAAAAAATATTCGAATCAGATACGAATATATCTCTCCCGTATACCTACGCGCATACCTATGAAGAACCTGAAGAAAGGCGCAGATCCTCTCCTATCCTATTTTAACCATTTTAATTGTCATTGAAAATTTTCCTCAACTTCGCTCTCAATTACAGAACACTGCAATTATAACTTGTAACAGGCACAGATTTAAATATTTAACGAACGTTGACACGTTCCCACACCGACGAGTTATCAATCGATCTCTAGGACGAAGAATAATTATTTTTTCATATTTATCGACGAGGCCGATGATACATCTTCCTTACGTCGTTTCGTCAAACGAGAAACGTAAATTGGCTGGTGAAAGTGGTTGCGAGCGATAAAAACGATCGAGAAGCGAGCAAGAGGAAACGCGATTTAACGCGGCCAGGTTTGAATCGGGGTCAAAGTGATAGGCCGGGGAAAATGGCATAAATTTACGTAGACTCCTCCGGTAACAAAGTCGCGTCATTATCCGGCTCTAATGCTATGAGAGCTGTATTGTCGCGTAGCTAGATTACACGAGGCGATTTCGTGTCACGGTTACTCTGAAAATTTGCACCACCGGTAACCACCCTCCCCCTCCTCCCTCCTCTTCGAACCCCCTCCCCTCGTCATGCGCGCCGGGGTAGGCTATCGAGTAATGACTGTTATACGAATCGACGTTGCGCAGACGGATGGATGGCGGATCGTAACGTAACGCAGGGTACGTAGCAGCCAGGGTGGCACAGGGCGGTGTGTTTCGTGCGTTTCGATAAAAAACTATCGATAATCCAGCTTTTCGCTATAATCCGATTTAACCAGGGCCAATGTCGTCCTCTTCCTTCTCCTCCACTCGTCGTCGACAACGGCGATCGAATCGACGAATCGAGAATTATTACATTTCCTTCCTCCCGTTTCCTCGGATGCTAAGAAACTTATCGAGGAACGAATATTCGCGATTGTTCGCTTCACCATTCTGGGAGGAGAATTTGCTTAATATTTGAGATAATTCGTCGAACGCAGACGTTTGAGGATTTCGTTTGGATCGTTTCATCAATCTTTTAACGTAAGTCGGTGTTAAGGGTTGTTGGAACCGTAACGCGCGGGTTCCTTTGAGGATAAGCGAGGAGGAAGCGCGGTGAAAAAGTTGGTAAAAAGGCTGGCGACCAATATTGGCGAAGGTAGGGAAATAGACACGTCGGCCTGGATACGTCAGAGTTACAAATCGGAATATTTATCACGAGACTGAAGCTCCTGCGGTGGCTGTGCGCTCGATAAAACGGAGACGCCTTCGGCGCCGTCGCGCGTCCTCGGCTTCTCGATACGCGTGCACCTGTCGTCTTGACGAGAAATGAAATCTAGTCGCGTGTCGATAAAGGGCTTCTATCCGTATTGCCCCGATACGATCGAGATAGAATTCCGTCCAAGTTCCAAGAATGGAAAATTGAGCGAGACGTCCTCCGCGGTTCAACGTCCTCGATGCGCTCCTCGATTTTGAAGGAACGCTCTGTTAAAATTTTTATTTGAAAAAAAAAGAAACGAACTCCAACTCGAAAACACGATATCTCCTTCTTCCACGAGTCTCGCGTTCCCGATTCGTTCGAAGATCAAGAAAAAAGGAACAAAAAATCGAATCCCTTGGAAATGGAATCGCGAGAATCGTGGAAAGCGGAATAACCGGAGGGAAGGCACGTCGCGGGGGCGACGTGGCGACAAACGAAGAGGCGGAAAGCTCGAGCGGACCGGTGGTGCACGAAAACGAGAGCGGTGAGCCTCGGTCGAAAGCAGCTCGTCGAGAGATCACGGCAGCAGGAGCAACAGAAGGTACGGAACGGCAGCAGGAACGGCAGCGGTTGAACGTGGGGATCATGCCTTCGCGTTTCCCCGTTCCTCGCTTCCTCNGGACGGGCGAGGGAGAGAGGGGGGGCGAGAAGGGTGGCGGAGCTGGTGGTGGGGTGGTGGTGGCGAACGGTGGTGGCGCGGTGGTGGCACGTGGAAGGGATAATTAAACGGACACGAACGTGAACACGGACACTGGTGTACGGAAGGACGAAGAAAGGTTGCCATGGCGACGTGGATGGGATCCGGCCAATCCCGGTATGGCTGGGGGGCGCGGCCTGTACATTGGCCCCCCGAGTGCCGTGCACCCGTCTCTTTTTCTCCAGCTACCCCTCCGCGGTGGGACGGTGCCGGGGGCAGGGAGCAAGGACGAGGACACGGGCGAGGGAGTGGGAGAGAGAGAGAGAGGGAGTGAAAGAGAGGACGAGGTAGAGGTAGGTCGCAAGAGCCGGCGGGACCACCCGGTTGCAACGGGCGCGTACAAACGTATCATGCTGGGTAGGGCCGGTGCCGAGATGCCGGCTTGTAAACGAAACCAGTTTGCTATCCGATACGATCCAGGCAACAGCGGCCTCGCGTGATATCCCCACGGCCGAGGAGAACGTCAGCGTGCGCTTTTCGCCCGATGTGACCCCGGAGGATATCTAGCTGGAGAACTCGGCATCGGGGCTCACCTGACGGATACCTGCTCGGGGGTGAGATTCAGTCGGCGAGAGGCGAAGCGGCGAACAACAGCCCACCGGTCACTCTCGTTGCGAAAGTCAATCCCGTTCCCGAGGTTTTATCCGAGCTCTTGGAATAATCGATAGTGCGGCAACATTTTCGTCGAGATTAGGATTAGGAACGAACTTAGGGGGATCGAGGATCGAGGATCGAAGCGATCTCGTCCGGAAGAACGGGCTCCTTTCTCGCGTCGTCGAACGGAAACTCGGTCGAGTGACTTCGAGGAACTTGGAATCCTGTGCTCCGATCCGATATATTCGAAACGATATATATACGTATTCAGTGTCGTATTCGGTATTGCCGTGAAGTGATGACATACGTCGATACATTGATCGAGTGATCGAGAAGAGGAACACGGAGGAGTAATGACAATCCTCGGAGACGGATGGAAGACACGATGAGAAGCGCGAAGAGCAAACACAAATCGAGTCGGATAATTTCTTGAGCCCGATCGAGAGGAGGAGGGAACGGTGACATCGATGCTTTGAAGTGGATCCTGTTGGCGCAGACACGGAGCACAAGTGGATCCTGGAGCGGGAAGGATCTTGGATAATCGAGACGGAAGAGATGTCAGCC